TGTGGGATATAAATAAAAGTCTTTTAACATTATTTTAGGGGAATTCTTTTAGAGATAAAATAAAAAAAAAGAGAGAGAACAAAGATATTCAAGAACTGAAGAAAAAGGGAGATTAAAGAAGGCTTGGAGAAGAAGAATTGGAGGAGATCATCATCAACTTCATTAATCCAACCAAGCTTCACTAAGTTTTTCTTCTTCTTTGTTATTATTATTTGTTATGAATAATACAATGATGTTCTCATATTTATTCATGAAGAACTAATTCTTTTGTGATTGAGGATGATTTCAAAACCCTAGACATATCTTGTGTTTAATAAAATCCGCATCTTTTTATCTTTTGATCCCTCTTGGTTATGTGATTATTTCTCTGAAAATAGGGTCTAACTAGATTTTTCTAATTGTTTAAGTGGCCAATTAAATCGTTAGGATTAATATATTAATACAATTTAGGTTTTTTAGTACGGAATTGCTTTATTAACCTAAATAACTAATGGTAAAGTGTATGTCTGCATACATGGGGGGTAATCACTCAAGATAACTAAACCGACCATATGAGTTTAGCCTTGATTCAGTAGGTCTCTCGCAACTTAATGCTTTTATTACTTTGAATCTAGAGGTCGTATCCTAGGTTATCTAATAAATAGGGAATTAGGTTGTGACCGTGTCTAATCCAACGACTCAGTAAGGAGAGATAGAACTTATCAACGTTTTGGTTTTTTCTGAGCTGATGTGATTAAAAGGGTAGAAAGTTAAAGAGTGCTTTTATTATATGTCATTCATGTCTAGTGGTGGCGAATAAACCTTCAATCTAGTTTCTCTTATTTATCTCTTTCGTGATTGTTTCATTGTTTTACTTTGTTTAATTTTAGCTTGATAGTTTTTATTGAGTTTTTATAATTCGTGACAAACCCTTGTTTGAAGTAGATAATTAATTGAGTTCACAAATCCTCTGCGAGAAAGACCCTTACTTGCTCTTTGCTACTACATGACTTTGCATTAGAATTTAGTGAGGTAAAATTAGGTGTTGCATTTGCAAGCATCACTGATAAGCAAACATTCAGCGATCAAGCTTTCCTTGTCTACGGTATGGTTACCGTGCAATTCGATCTGTTTCATCATCTTATATCTCATCAAGGTTTGAGGTACAGAAGTAGTGTCTACCTCAAAACTATTTCCTATTGACATGTTGTATTCTGACGACCATATGAGATTAGATTCAAGTACCAACTTGATTCCACCGTGACCATGGCTTTGCAGTCGTAGTTCTTTAACTAAATATCTCGCCGAGATAAGGTCTTTTGTAACTAGAAGTGATGAATCCTTTGTTGATCAATGATAGCATAGTGTACTTCCCAATGTAACCAATCGCCACCGTTCTAGTAATCCCAAATAGAGACAACATTAGGTTGGTGTCAAATCAGATCGATCTTTACACACGGTGCTCTGGTGATCTCAAGTCGAAGGACCATATGCACCATTCGTAAGAGGATATATTCCATCGACACTGAGTTGCCATCTTGTATGGAATCCTCTAATGGGTCAATCTAGTGGACTTGCACAAGCAAGCACCCATGCATTGCACCAAGTTGATGCTCTTAACCTCGACATGTGAGACTTGTCATTATCTTTCAATAAGGTTGTTCAACACAATGATAGTCTCTCTGTATAATCTGTCCTAGGTTAAATTTATACTATGACTATGGACGGTTTAAGAAGGGCCACCATTTGTGCTCATAGGGTTCTCACAATTAAGATTTATGACACTTAATACCCTCGTCACTAGTTTCAACCTTTTTAAGGACATATATTATTTTCTTTACGCGCAGTAAATAGATACTATAGTCTATTGCTTATAAAGAAGTTTTTGCCTTTTATTCATATAAAATATGAGTTTACAAGAGCTATAATGTTGGCTTTAGTGCACATTCTCTAATAGTCTCCCACTTGCACTATAGCCAATCATTTATTCATTTGATCCCAAATGATGCTATGTGCCTATCATGCTTCTGCTGCGACAGAGCTTTCATTAGTGGGTCTACGATGTTATCATCAGTAGGTACTCTATCAATTCATACGTCACCTTTCTTTACTATCTCTCTGATGAGATGGTATCACCAAAGTATGTGCTTGGATCTTTGGTGAGATCATGATTCTTTAGCCTGAGCTATAGCACCATTGTTGTCGTAGTAAAGCACAACTGGATCAACAATGCTTAGAACCATTTCTAGTTCAGTCATGAACTTCTTGATCCAAACAACCTCTTTGACCGCATCACCTAATGCGATGTACTTGGCTTCCATTGTAGAATCCACTACAGTGATTTGTTTTGAACTTTTCCAGCTCACTGTTGCCCCATCAAGACAGAACATGTAACTTGACTGCAATCAATAGTCATCCTTATCAATTTGAAAACTGGTGTCACAGTATCCTCTTACAGTGAGATCATCTTCTCCTCCATAAACCAAGAACATATCCTTAGTCCTCTTAAGGTACTTGAGAATGTTCTTGACTTCTATCCAATGTTTTTCACCTAGATCCGATTTATATCTACTACAAATGTTCAAAGCATATGAGACATCAATCCTAGTACATGGCATGGCTTACCACCAAACCTATCTCTCTCCTCTTATGTTTAAGGACACATATCCTTAGAGAGATACACACCATGTGACATTGGAAGACAACCTTTCTTTGAATCTTCCATACTGAATCTTTTTCAGTACTTGGTCAATGTATGTACTTTGACTTATGCCCAGCAACCTACGAGATCTATCACGATAAATCTTTATACCGAGAATGTAGGTTGCTTCTCCTAAGTCCTTCATGGAGAAGCACTTGGATAACCAAGTCTTTACCATTTGCAAGTTCAGCATATCATTCCCAATGATTAATATGTCATTGACATATAACACTAGGAATGCCACTGCGCTCCCACTGAATTGCTTGTATACACAAGGCTTGCCTTCGTTTTTTATAAACCTGAATTGCTTTATGAATTCATCAAAATGAATGTTCCAACTCCTTGATGCTTGCTTGAGTCCATAAATGGATCTCTTCAACTTGCATACCTTCCCTGCTTGTCCATCAAGAATGAAAACATCAGGTTGCGTCATATAGACATCCTCTTCAAGGTTTCCATTTAGGAAAGCAGTTTGGACATCTATCTGCCAAATTTCATAATCATGGTATGTAGCAATAGCTAGTATAATTCTGATGGACTTTAGCATTTCTACTGGAGAAAAGGTTTCATCATAGTCAATCTCATGCTTTTGTTTAAAACCTTTTGCAACCAGTCGTGCTTTATAGGTTTGAATATTCCCATCCATGTCAGTTTTCTTCTTGAAGACCCATTTATACCTTATGGGTTTGACTCCTTTGGGTGGATCCACCAGATCCCATGCTTGGTTTTGGTACATGGAGTCCATTTCAAATTTCATGGCATAAGCCATTTTGCGGAATCTGGATCCAACAAAGCTTCGTTATAGGTTCTAGGTTCATCATCTTGATAAACTAATATGTTGCCATTTTGAGTCACGAGAAAACTGTATCTTTCGGGCTCATGACGTATTCTCCTAGACCTACACAGCTCTTGTATTGGAGGTTCACTTTGTTCCACTCCCTATGGAGCAACCTCCTCATGATGCTTAACCATCTCTAGTGGCACATCATCTTGTTCATCATTTGAAGCATCTTGTGTTTTTAGAAATTCATCGAGTTCTACCTTTCTTACATTATCTTCTCTTTGAAGGAAATCATTCTCTAAGAAGACTCCAGTTCGAGCAACGAAAACTTTCTACTCTACTGAATTGTAGAAATAGTATCCCTTGTCTGTTTAGGATACCCACAAAGATACACTTCTCTGATTTTGAGGCTAGCTTGTTCAAAGTCAATTTCTTGACATAAGCATCACAACCTCAAACTCTTAGATGAGACAAAACGGGTTTTCACCCATTCCATATTTCATATGGTGTCTTATCCACTAATTTTGACGGTACACAATTCAGTGTATATGTCACAGCCTCTAGGGCATAGCTCTAGAACGATGTGGGTAAATCTGTAAAACTCATCATTGATCGAACCATATCTAGCAAGGTTCGATTCCTCCTTTCAGACACTCAATTGTGTTGAGGTGTGTAAGTAGGTATGAGTTGAGATATAATCCCACATTCCTTAAAGTATGCATCAAACTCTAAGGTCAAGTATTCTCCTACCTTATCGAATCGAAGAACCTTGATATTCTTGCCTAGTTGATTCTATACTTCATTCTTGAATTCCTTGAACTTGTCAAAGGATTAAGACTTATGTTTCATTAAGTAGACATATCCAAATATATTGAAGTCATCAATAAACATGATGAAGTAAGAATATCCCCCTCTGGCTTGTCCTGATAGTGGTCCATATAACTTGCATACCTCATAAGACTTAAAGTCAAATGAGTCCAAAACTCCGTCCTTATGGAGTTTTGTTATTCGAGTCTGGTTCACGTGACCAAGCCTACAATGCCATAGGTAAGTTTGACTAAAGCCATCAACCTTGGCTTTCTTATTCTCTAAATTGAAAATCTCATTATTATTTAATTCTAGAACATACAAACTATTATGTAGTCTTGCAATTCCATATTGAATACCACTAAAACTAATTGACATCAATCCATTAGTTATCATAAATTGATATCCAACGTTGTCCAAAGGGACACAAAAATAATATTTTTTGAAATTAAAGGAACATAAAAAAAATTTGCAAGTTCCAATACAAGGCTTGAAGGCGAACTCAAACAATAAACCCCTACATCTAATGCAGCAACGCGTGCTACATTCCTAACTTGTATGTCCACCTCTCCTCGACCGAGTAGTCTACAATGTCATAGTCCCTGCATAGAAGTGCAAATATGGGAACCACATCCTGTGTCAATAGCCCAAGTTGTAACAGGAGATACATTGATTTCAATCATGTACATACCTTTAGAAGAAGATGTAGACTTCTTCTTGCTTGCTTGCTTGCTAGGAAGGCCTTGCAATGCTTATTCTAGTGACCAGGCTTGGCACAATGGAAGCAAACAACCTTTCCATCTTTGCACGCGCCTCCAATAGGTTTAAGGACATCTTGGGGTTGAGCTTTGGATTTGCACTTAGCATTTTCTTTGAATCGCTTCCCTTTCCTTTCATTGGCATAGCGTCAACTAGCATCACTAACTTGGATTTCTTCATGTCTTTCTCTGATGTCTTCAGCATATTCAAGAGCTCTAAGGGAGACTTCTCCATAGAATTCATATTGAAGTTCATTATGAATTGGGAGAAAGAATCAGGCAAGGATTGCAGAACAAGATCAATTGATAGTTTTGCCTCTATACCAAATCCCAGTATTTTAAGCTTGTGTATATAGCCAATCATCTTGACAACATGCGGGCTAACTAGGGTTCCCTCAATCATTTGGCATCTATATAATGCCTTTGACACCTCATAACGTTCATCCCTAGCACACTTCTGAAAGAGCTCTTTGAGATGTGTGATGATGGAGCCGACATCTAAATTCTCCTGTTGCTCTTGCAGATCAAGTGCCAATGATGCATGTACAATACACTGTACAATATCAACATCGTCCAAATACCTTCTATAAGCATCTATAGCTTCTTGAGTAGCTTTTAATTCAGGCACTTCCATAATAAGTTCATCAAAGATATACAATTTCTTTTCTATCTTGAGTACAATCCAAAAAAATTTATACCAGCTAGTAAAGTTTGTACCATCGAACCTGCTTTCCTTTTCAATGATCAATCACAATGATATATTATTGGTAGTCATAATGTAAATCTACAAGTACAAATAAAACAAAGTTAATAATTAATTCATAAGGCCTTTTGTCAATTAATATGCTCCCATTATTTTGTTAGGAAACGACCCGGTTGCGCAGCGGAAAACAAAATTTTTACAACCACGGATCGTTCCTTAGAACCCAAAATCAAGGCACAGATTTTACAGTTTATGCATAATATGAATCTGCAGAAAAATAAATCCAAAGGTTTAGATTTATACCTACGTTTGGAGGCTCCACCAATTTTGTCTCTGAATGTGTTTGCTACCGATCCAAGTGTAGGATCGAACCAAGAAGTCCACACGAAGACAACCACCAAGAACCAAGGAGGGATTTGCTAGATCCTCCTTGGCCTTAAGAAATCAAGAAGAAGATCAGTATTTGATTTTTCAATCAAACAGTGAGATTGGCGTGAGAGAGTGTATAAGGGGCTGCTGTGTTTTTCTTTTTCTAAAGACTAAATCAATTAATATTAAATCACACAAACACTATTCCTTTATAGGCAAACCAAGTTGCCCATTCCCACATGGAATGGGCTTGGGCTCCAACCCAAACACCCCATGTTGCCAAACACTCCCAATTTGATATTTAATTTAATTCATCATATCTTAATTAAAATCAATTAATATTTAATTAACATTTAACAATAATGATGATTTAATTAAATATGTGCGAAACACATTTAACCGTAATTTCCTTATTTAATTTTTTACAAATTAAATAAAAGGCTACGACCTCAGCAAATTAATTGCACGTGAATTACCAAAATCCCTTTCGCCTAAAAAGACGAAAACGCCCTTCTTTCTTCTGGCTCTTAAATTATCTTCTATGTGTGTGACCCATAGGCTCCTTATCATACCGGTAGTGTATAGTATCGCGATTAACACCAATTAATCGTCTCACTAATACACAGACCAAGATTGGCCTAGCAAGGCATCATGGCCACCCGATAGATTCGGATTCAGCAAAGTAGCTACCTGTCAACGATATGGTTAAGTACAATACGACCTTCATCATTCGTTACTCTCCGAGACGAAGGCATAGAAATAGTGTCAACCTTCGGTTACTCTCGATATTATATATTCAGTTTCTGGACCAATGACCCATATTATAATCTGGATAGAGACAAACTCAATCCCACTGTGGCCACAGTTTTAGTGTCATTACCATATACTGAGTTGCACCGTGAGATAACTCTCCCGTACCCGGGAGTGATGAATCCTTTGTCAATCCACCATAGTCTTGATACACTCCTTGATATAGCCAATCACACCGTACTGACAGCTCTGAATAGAACTGCGTTAGGCTAGTATCAAACTGTACCAATCGGTGCACAAGGCGCTCCGGTGATCTCAAGTCTAAGGATACATGCACCACCATTCGTTAGAGGATTGTGTCCATAGACACTGGGGTTACCATCCATATGGAATCTCTGGGGGGGTCAGTCCGTGAACTTGCGCGGTATATCCGCTACAACAAGCACCATGTGTTGCACCAGGTTGTCACCAAACAACCTTGACAAGTGAGATCAGTCACTGCCTTTCGAGAGGGTCGTTCAACACTATGATAGCCTATACGTATTATCTGTGCCCTTACTTCAGAATAATACTGGGCTCCAGACGTTTCTAGAATGGCCACCATATGTGCTCATAGGGTTCTCACTATCAAGATTTGAAACACTTGATACCCTCGTCACGGTTCTACCATTCTAAGGACATATATCAATACATATTGCAATAATAATGATTTACGCGATGTAGAATAAAATGCCTTTTATTATTGATTAATGAACATTATTACAAAGAGTCAATTCCACAATAATTGATTGGCTCTAGGGCATCTACTCTAACATATTTTTATTCAAGTTAATAGCCATCACTATTAAACTTGGGAAGGTGTGACAGTCTTCCTAGTGGACTGAAATCCATTCATTCCTAATTTGACCTCTTACGAGGGCAAGTAGATCAAACTAGGATGAGTAGGTAGGCCACAAACTTTAGCTTACACCCTTTAATAGCACTAAACTTATTAAACTCAAATGTAAGTAAAGTAGATAAGCCAATTACACAAGCCAATGGCACCAACCAATTGGACTCAAGTGTAACTTTCGGATCAGTGAGTTTGGACACTACATGCCCACTCATGCAACTTTAATATGCACTACTCTACCATGCCTCTAGTTGTACTTATCAACCCTTCGTGGAGGCAAATCCATCAAAGTACACCTAGTTAAGTCATAACCTATCACCATTAAGGAAAAACTCCAATGATGATTAACCTCCCAGACGTAGAAGTGGCTCCCTGTGGGGGCAAATGAGTCCTCAATGAACGATGGTTTGATTAATCCCATGGGATGGAAGGCTCGATTTATTTTTGACTTAATATCTTTTATGAGGGGTTTATGCTTTAAACAATCTCACCAATTTATTATCTTATTTAGCATGTTATCATCTAGGCATTCAACCTTAGCATGATTCTACAGATAAGATACATAACAAACTTGTGTTGGTACATGGCCATTCTAACACCATTTTCCCCGAGCTTAAGGGAAATTGGTAAGTCACCTAGGTTTATTATTCTTTTACGAAGATTGAAACATCTGTGGGATTCATCACGCCTTTGCCTCATCTTCAAAGCCTATTCAACTTTACAAATAAATTTAAACAAACCTTCAATTACATTCGAGGCGACTTAGATGAGAAGAGAATTACATTAAGAGAGTGAGAGGTAAGGTAGGACATGCAGGCAATATTTAAAATATAATTCCAAATAATAAAACCTAAGGTCTATGGCCAAGTACTGAACACCATGCATAATAGACACCAAACATATAATGCATAAATTCAAATTTAGCAAGTTTGAATTATAGGGTAAATTTCACTTTACCCCCTTTAGTTTTGTAGAGTTTCATGTTGGCGATGAAGAACTTGTGTTGCATCTCAACTAGAGCTATTGCATCCATGAAGGGCGAGTCAGCGTAGCTATGGGGTAAGCTCTTCTTGGTTAGGGTTGGCACTCCGGGTATGTGCCTCATCATTGCTTCCATGTCGGCTAGTATTTTGGTAATATTTGCTCCAAGGGTGAGGCGGTGGCCATTAGGTCAACTTGAATGGCTTGGTTGGACATGCAACTCGCACTCGATATGTCAGGGTGAGTCAAGTCATATGGAGCAAGTTGGGGTTTCGTTCCATCATAGACTGTCTGGTAGCTTGGGTCTCCATTCATCCCTTTAGGTTGAGTCATTTTGAATGTGACCGATTGGGTGTTTCAGCCAGCATGGATAGTTCAAGGGGTTATTTGGGAGTCACTCGGTCTATGAGGGTGGATAGTCCTGAGTAGGGTGGATTGAAGGTGTGTGAGTCCACTCGACCCATGAGTGTGAGTCCACTCGACCCATGAGGGTGAGTCGAGCCAAGTGGGGTTAGGTTAGGATTATTCTTTTGTTGGGGATGAGTTGGGAGTCTAGGAATGAGCTGTTCTTGTAACGGTAGGCTTAGAGTTACTTGGATACCTTGACCATGCGACTAGAGAAGGTTGGCCGAGAGTAGTCTTGTTTACTGTCCTAGTTCGGATGGATTCTAGATCGAGCCATCCACTAGTGATGAGTAGAGCTAGGATGACTGGGTATCTAAATTGGACAATTTAGGGTCAAAAGTTTGGAGAAGTTGCATGGGAATAACTAGTGTACGGAAGCGATTAGGCGGCACCTAGTTAGGTTGGAGCTCAAGATTATAGAATTGACTTACCTACTCTTGAGAGTCCGGTTTTTGACCAGGATGGAGGCGTTTTTCTCCCTGGATGGTGCATTCTCAGCTTCCAGCGCTATGACTTTGTTTGAGTGCTATTGCATAAGAGTAGAGAGGGCTTCAAGCCTAGCCTCGAGGCCAGGGTTGGCGTTGTCTTAGTTTTCAACCATGAAGTGTTTCCTTGTGAAGTAGAGTGTCGTAGGATGAATGATTGCCAAAGGCCCCACGGTGGATTCCAAACTGTAGATGATAAAATCTACGGTTACGGAAAGGGGGATCCGATCTTGTGAGGTTGAGGCCACTAGCAATCTGCTACACCTACACATAAAGAAACAAGCGTGAAGCGAACGAAAAACACCAGGGTGGTGTTTGCCATAGGCAAGCTAATTTAGTGAGGGTAAGGATAAGGGTAAGAGAAAGAGAGGGATACCAGAAGTTTAGTCGGAGACTAGAACTACGATGGTGATGTATAACTCTCAAGGATGAGAACTAAAGGGTTTGAAGGTGTAATGTTGAATGAATTATGAAAGGGCAGGCCTCTATTTATATAGCAATCGTAGGATTTCTAAATCTTGGTAAGACTATGAGTCCATAATGGTTGAGGTTTAGTGAATAGGAAAGCCTTCAATTCACTTGCCTTAGTAAGGGAATAAGTCCTATTTAGTCTAAGATTCGGATCTTAGACAAATTAGGATGTAGATGGATCTCTTGAGAGAATCTGGATAGTATTGAAATAGGAAGTACATGGCCTTAGGGTCTAAGTAAACCCTAGGCCTTATAGGTGATCTCGGATCAATGGGCCTCGGCCCAAATAAACTGATGGTGAGGCCTAAGTGAATCAAGGCCTTAGTGATTGGATTTGTTCTGTGGACAACCCGGTTGATATAATGGGCTGCCCTATTATGTGAATCTTGCCGTGGGCCTAACCTAGATTGGGCTATGGTTTTGGTCCACACAGTGAGTGGTTTGTATTTGGGCCTACTATTGTCCATGACATTTTTTGGCCCCGACAAAAAGCATAAGCATTTGGCGAATGCATATTACTATAGAGACCAAGTAAGAATATTTCCAAGCTTGATAGTTTAAAGGCAATTTTTTTTTTT